GATGTAATGCAAGTATAAAAGACGTCACTGTAAGATATCTATTGAAGTACTTCTCTCTGATATGGCTAGCCTCAGAATGCCTCTTCTCTGTATCACAAGGCCTAACAAGTTAAGAGTTCAGTTATGTACACTGAATAAAAATTTAAATTGTTTTGTGAAAATATAGAACAAGAGTGTAACTAAGTGAGAGCATGTTGGAAATCGGAGCTGGAATTATCAGTCTATCAAATACATTTTAAAAGGACAATTGCAGATTTTCAACAAAGGGCTTGAAACTATCAAAGCCTTGTGAACATACAACATTCTTTAGAGTTGTGCTTGAATTAGCTTAACAATTGAGGATGAAATTTGGCAGAAATAATCTGTATGATTGCCGCACTGCTTATCCCAAAATACGAGCAGCAGAACAAGCTGTGCCCAGCACTATCATGCTAGTGCAAAGAGTACAGCAGTAGGGACAAAAACTCAAGTGGATCCCGTGGAGGTTGGCGAAAAGCTGTGGCTCGCACCATGTGATGTATTCAGTCAACAAAGATTTTGCTTACTGCAATAAAATAGCTGACCTTGCACTGAATTGAAGACAGTACATAAAAATCAAGAACATGGCAGAGAAAATGTTTAGACTTTACTGGACTAAAAAAAGTTAATCACAATATAGTAGCTGACAAGAAAAGAAATCAATAGAGAACATCTTTACTGCACAGATAAGCTCCTAATGTCTTCAGAATTTATTTTTTGGTTTAAAGAATTATGTATTGAAACTATATATCTTTGTACACAATCAGTATGTGACAATTTATTATGATTTCCTCACATACTTATGTGCTGGTGGAGCTCAGAGAAGATTAGTATGAAGAAATCCTCACAGACGCACATAATTTTTATTTCAAAAAAATTCGGCTGCAAATTAAGGATATTCTAAGACTAAAACTTCAATTGATGCATTCTATATTTTCTGTAGAGATGCAAAATCAAATGATTCCACTTCAACTATAAGGTGGCACAATGTCTAATCGAATATTAATCACATTCATCCTACTATTTCAATTGAACTACAAAAATCGTCTCAGTTCAAAGCTTTTCTTCAAAGAAATTGAGCAAAATTTTTTCTTGAACAACGCAAGAGAGCTGTGTCATTTCATTAAGAAAAATAACATAAAGGAGGGTAGGTTAAACCCTCGTACATACGACCACACTAGCTTGATCATAAATATTGATTTATAACCCTCTTGGGTTTAATATCAGCTTTCCTGAATGCATTTCATCGACATGCTCCTGTCCCTACCACTTTATCATACAGCAGCATGTACTTCTACCAAATGCAAGTTCTACAAAGCCCATATGCATTATGGAAGTGCATAAATTAAGCACAAATTAATTGGTTATGTACATAAAAGACTATAAGTATTAACTAATTCCTACAATAACTAAATCTAGGACTGCTAATTGACTAAGAACACCAGCAGGTTTTCCCACTATGTGCAATCATCAAAAGAGCTGGTCTAGCATGGCTGACTAATTGTCAAGCTAGCTTCATTTATACAGAATTTCATCAGAAAAATACCATAGAACATGCACATATGAAAACAGGTTCTAAGACGTCCATGTGGATTTTTTAAGAACAAAATAATATTCTATATTAGTTCATTGGTTGGGATGGGATCAAAAAGAAGATAGGACAAAGGACACTATATGTCTCCTCCGTCATACCTTCTCAAAGACATTATCTCATAATCAATATTTATCTAATTTGATTTCTCTTACAAAATTGAAACCAGCATAGCACATTTAAAACAAGAAAAAATCAAAGGTCGCTGCAAGACAGAGGAAGGAAGATTCAATTGAGGAAGAACAGGAAGACATAATTACCCAGAGCACACACACAAGGATAAGTGATGTCTCAACTGACCATCACCCCTTCTTCTCATTCAGAATTTAAATGTTCATGGCCATTAAGTCTGTCACTACAAAACAAAAAGAGAGAATTCCTTATTTGACACTGGGAAAATGAGTCGTTCCTTTCTTGGCCCTGAAATTTTCTTCGTTCCCTATTTGACACTCATTTTAACTTTCATCCCTAATTTGACACTACCGTCAAATCCGTTAGCTAACGATGTTAACTGACTGTTAAAAATACGTTTTTGCCCCTAGAAAAAAAAGCGACGAAGCAAATTTGAGAGAAAAAAAAACTTGCGCCTTTTTTTTGCAGCTAGGCTATGCATCGAGGCGGCGCAGTTTTTTTCCTCTCAAATTTGCTTCGCCGCTTTTTTTTTTCTAGGGCAAAAAACGCTTTTTTTAACCGATTAACTACCGTTAGCTAACGGATTTGACGGTAGTGTCAAATTAGGGATGAAAGTTGAAGTGAGTGTCAAATAGGGAATGAAGAAAATTTCAGGGCCAAGAAAGGAACGACTCATTTTCCCAGTGTCAAATAAGGAATTCTCTCAAACAAAAACGACCGCTGTCTTATCAGTTTGAGTATGTTTGACATACTCATATTAAGATACTCCAGATCTTTACTATGTGAAATTTTTTCAAAAGAGCACATATTTTTAATATGTTATTTAATACTATGACAGTAGTATATAAAATAAGTATAACCATATACTCTAAGTATACTTGCATATTTTACATACATAATACCCTAGATGGTCTAGTATGATTATATACTCCATCTAAATATACTTCGTCGAGCCATATACGACCTAAATCTAGAGATATAGATATGTGAGTAACTACTCTCTGGAAATAGAAAATAATTTCCCTATATAAAGGGTGTACCCAGTGCAGAGAGCTCCCACTTTGTGCGGGGTCTGGGGAAGGGTGTCAGTGGCAAGCCTTATCCTCGCCTGTGCAATGCGAGGAGACCGCGACTCGAACCCGAGGCCTTCCGGTCACAGGCGGTAAGACTCTACCGCTTGCACCAGGCCCGCCTATATATATATAAATAAATATATAGACATGATGTATATCTAGATACATCGTAAAATCTAGAAAAAGATAGAACGACTTATCATTTGAAAAGAAAGGAGTAACTAGTAAAACATTATTAATCGAGCAGGACCACCAGGGAGAGACGATATATTCCGGTGACGACGAACGACAGACTCACGGGTTAGAGCTAGAGCGACCGGTAGACGCGCCTGATGTGCTTCACCATGAGGGTTAGACCCGCCCACGCTGCATGGAAGAATGGGAGACTCACAAAGTGTGGAGGACACATTCACATAGACAGGCAGATAGGACAGACAGACAGAATAGATAGATAGATAATGAGAGAGACGTACCGCCATTCGCGTGAAATTAATACTTCCCTCCGTGCACCTCCATGTCCGGCCGGCGGCCTGGTCTTAGTGGTTCTGGTTGGTATTCGCCACTGCAACACACTTTGACCTTCTGCGACAATCAGCTATTGTCGTTGAACACTAAATTTAGGTTAAGTTACGGATTTGGTGACATGAGCACGACAAATTCCCATTTGTCGCCTATCTGACGTGTTTAAACACCTTTGATGACGAACACAAGTTTTTTTTGTCGCTATACTTTCGACAATACTGCTTCGTCACTAAATTTGCGACAATGGCTATTGTCATTGTTTTAGGAAGAATTGTCGCTAACTATTAAGTGACATGATGTCACGTGGCAAGATCAATATGCTTACATAATACACAGATCAATATAAGCAAATACTCCCTCCATCCCAAATTGTAAGTCATTCCAAGAATCTTAGAGAGTCAAAGCATCTCAAGTTTGACCAAAATTATATAATAAGATAACATTTATGATACCAACTAAGTACCAATAGATTCTTTGTTAATTATATTTTTATAGTATACCTATTTGATATCATAAATCTTTGTAATTTTTTTTATAATTTTGATCAAACTTGAGAAACTTTGACTCTCTAAGATTCTTGGAATGACTTACAATTTGGGATGGAGGGAGTACATAATACAATGTAGGTCACAAATTGATCATATCATTGAACAGTTAATTAATTAAAGTTCAAACTCACCAACCAAAGTTACAGTAGCAGGTCATACAATACATGTTTCAATGATCATATCCAGTGACAACAACAGCAAACCACAATACTAGTTTTGTTCACAGGCCACAATACACCTCACAGACCATATGATGCACTGACCAAAATTATAGCGCCACAAGTTCCAAAGTTTAAAGGCCGCACAATACTTCTCAGAGGTCGCAAAACAATGAAACCAGCAGCATGGTTCAAAAGTTAGAGCTACTAATACTAGGGGCAAACAACCAGCAACCAAACCAAGTTCAACCATCCCTAGGAGGCTAGGACCAAGCATTTGACGAAGGAAGGACATGGTTTCTTATGATGCCTTTTTTATTTTTTCGATCTCCTCAGCCTGTTTTGCCCTTGCCATTTCTGACTCTTTCTTTAAAGTCTCCATTGCCATTTTTTATTCTTTCTTCATGGCTTCAAACTCATGCCTAAGGTCTTCTTTTGATTTTTTTTTTCAATTTCAAGATCAACCCGAAGCTGTTGCACCTGTGCATAAACACCATAAATATGTCGGTGGCTTTACTATGAAATAAATCATCTATTATTCTGTTAGAAGCAATAACCACTCAAGGCAGCGAGGCAAAATATTTGTTTACTGGACATTATTATGTGCAAACTGAACAGCTAAGTACAAGTAGGTTCAAATTGAGTTTACTGCTTTCATGTGCAGGACAGCTAGGTACAAGTTGATTTAAACTGAATAACTAGGTATTTATTCCTAAGTCAAATGCAAATGCCCAACTAAGGGACAACAATTCATGTGCAAGAGTAGGACAGCTAGGTACTAGAATCAAACTAAACAACTAGGTATTTATTCCTAAATCACAACTAGGTATATATCTTGACGAGGCACAAATCTGGTCTATGTCTTGATGAAGCACAAATCTGTAAAGAAAATAACTTCAGAGCATGCATGGTAGGGACTTGATGCACTTGTACCTTTGAGGAAGTGCCACCTTTAGAGCTATTGTTGGAGTTTGGTTGAATTCCTGCAACTTGAAGAAACGTAGTTGATTTCACAACTTGAGATTTGAGAAACAGCATGGTTCACTGACTTTGGTTGCTCTTCATCTTGTACTGGTTCAGCCATGATCACTTCCATATCAGCCTAGCAAAAAAATTACAATAGAGACTTAAATCTTGTGTGCAGTTTATTTTTTCAGATGTACATCATGTAACGAAGAAGGAAACAATCTGCAGCATGTACATGTACGCAAAACTATGGAAACAGAGAAGAAAAGGGAATCAGTCACTCACAATAGCTTTCTTGATAGGCTCACTGAATCCTTTGTTCTTCCTGCAGTGGAAGTCCTTGAAAAGATCAATAGCAGTAGGTTGTACATCTTTGTATTTCTCTTGTCTCTAAATTATTTGCAAAGAAATACAAACAATTAGGCTGATACAAAAAACAATATATATTCATTACTGATCATTGATTTAGTTTCTTACCACGACATGGGCTTGTGCAATGTAACACCGAGATCCTGTACAATGCAGTAACTGTACCTTCTCTCGATTTTGTTGGTTTTTCAAGGTCCTTTCCTGTGCATGAAACATTTGTTTAAGTGTTTCTACACATAGGACAAATACATAAGTGAAGTTACAGTAAAATAAAAAACATAAGTTCAAAGCATATGTCAACTAATAGATATGTCCTGCTTCTTAGAGGTTCCAGGAGAAAATAGCTAGAACCTAAGACCACGGAGCTAATGGTCCCTAAAATAGGAGCAGAGGGACAGCAGTGACCTCAAACTGAATGCAAAAGCGACCACATGTGGATGTCACAACTACCTGATTAAAAATTTTCTTAGCATAGAAATTAGCTAAAGGTTCAGGTTTAGATAAGAAGATTTACAAAAACAGTAATAGATCAAGACAAGTGTCAGCTTGCCATCTTAATTTCTATTTTACTGTATCTAAGTTCAGGTTCAGGAAATTTGGAGGTTTGTCGCACCTTGTGCTTCGGGTCTGACCATGTTTGCACTAAGGCCTGCCATTCATTGTTAGTCATATGATTCACAGGTGATGTAGTCCTCACTTGATTTGCAGGTACCCCATCAAAGTACTTTTTTCAGCTTGTGCCTCATCTGACGTTGTCCACACTTAAGCAAATCAGCACATGCATATTGGACTGCTTCACTCTTGGTGTCAATGGTGAATTGGGCCTAGTAAAGAGCATGAAAATTAGAATCTGTGAATGCAAAGGATAGATTGAACTTTAATGAAATCAGCAAAATTGAATTATCTTACACCAATTTTTCCAATGTAGTTTTCAAGATGTGACTCATTTTTCTTGTACTCCTTCCAGTGTGTAAGGATTGGTATGTGCTGCCTAAGTGTGATCCCACCCTCTGATGCAAGCTTGGCAGCTTGGATAGGCGCCTCTGGCCGTCTGTTCCCTTCAGAAACATGGATTGGCAACTTCATGCATAATCCTCTACTTAGCATATCTAGTTCTCTACCTGCGCTTCTTCCTCTTATCCTATCTGGATGTTTTCTTGCAGCAAGTGCACCTAACAACAATATAATGTTAGTGTTAATCTCGTAGTTGCTATTTGCAGTACACATGCAACTCATGTATATACTAAATGACTGCATGAATACAGCATAGATTCAGACTGCAATTTCTTAACTAGTCCATTCATGTACAATTCAAAGGTTATGGATATGAATAGACGAGAATAAAGAAAAACTATTTAGAAGTACTACTGAATTTAGAAGGCAGTAAATTTATGACAATGACATACATATTTAGCATTGCAATTTGCAAATAATGAAAAGTGATTTGTTTGCACAAGGTAGATACAGTCACTTGCCTTTATCTGTAATGTCAACCAAGTCATGTTGCACGGAGGGATCACTGCCAAAAACCAACACATCATGTGTGGGTGTGGCATTTGGCAGGCCTAAGTTGATCACTTGTTGTGGGTCTGGACTTGAAGCCAAGGCTAGATCCCTTGTTTTCTGCCTAGTGACTCTGTTAGGCACATCTTGTTTCTGAGGTGCCACCACTCTCTTAGATGCTTTTGTTCCTCTAACAGAGGTGTTCCCAGACCTTGTTGGATTCTTTATATATGCAACATTAGCAACCTGCAAAGCCTCATTAGGCAAAAAGACAAGCAGAATTGGCGCCAAATTGGCTAAATAGCATACTGACACGTAATAAGAAACAATAAAGGATAAATAAACATATGCTTAGAAGACTTGGTACTTTGCTAATAACCTCCTCATCTTCACAGTCCTCACTCTCCTGACTACTCTCCTGACCTGTATATAATGATCCAGAAATTTCATGGTCTTCACCCTTTCTCTTCACAAATGTATTGTTCACTATGGGCACTAATGTCTTGACACCAAGCCTTTCCAGCTCTCGGTTGTTTTTCATTATTTCTTCATTCCTTGCACACTCATATTCAGTAATTGGTGCCTCTGTAAAAATCATTTGAGAATAGTTAGAATGTTGGAATTTAATGAGATTATATGCCTCTGTAAAACCCAAGAGATGACATTATAAAATGTTGCATGTGTCATGTGGGGCATCGGGTACACGAGGAGGAGGCGCGCCCGCGACGTACGGCGGGCGGCTGAGCGCGCCGCAAGCCTGGGTCTCGCCACGCATGCAGAGAAGCCACAACCGAACGGTGGCTAGGCTAGTCAATCCCTTAAGTTTAGGATCAAGTTATCTCCCTCATGTTTAGGAGATTAGTTTCTATTTTCAGTTAAGCCATAGGCTATTTATGCATTGTAATCAGGACTTGAGGGGGCAAGCAAGATTATTATCCTTAACCTCTATCTCTTCTCAAGCCGACGGCTGTGGGGCATAACCACGCCGGCGAGGACGGAGCGAGGGTACGAGCTCCGTAGTCGCGGTCCTGCTACTCTAGGAGCCGACGTCCTTGACAACCTGGTATCGCGATCCAGTCGATCTTCTTCCACCTCCGCCGCCGCTCCACCAGCCCCCACGCCAGCCCCACCGCCCGACCTGCCATCCCCGACATCTTCCTCTGCCTCATCCACCAACCCAGCCACCACCATGACGGAGCCTTCCAATTCCGAGCTCTTGGAGATGCTGAAGACCATAACCGCGGAGATGAAGACCCTCAAGTCGGACATGGCCGCCATGAAGGACAAGACGGCGTCGTCCTCTGCCGCTGCCGATGGCCACGGGACGGACGGCCACCGCGACTCCGAATTCTTTCCAAGACCCAAGAAGTGGGATTTCCCCCGCTTCGATGGCACGGTCGATCCCCTCCTCTTCCTCAACAAGTGCGAGGCGTACTTCCGGCAAAGACAGACCATGCCGGAAGAGCGGAGTGCGACGGCGTCCTATCACTGGACGACGTCGCCCGCCTACCGTACGTCGCAGACTCAAGATGACGAGGGCACACCGTCCTGGGGGCACTTCAAGGATCTCCTCAACCTCCGGTTCGGCCCGGCCCTCCGCGCCGCCCCGTTGTTTGAACTCAAAGAAAGTGCCGCCAGATCGAACGGTGGGACGAGCACGCCACCGCTTCTGTGCTCGCTCCCACGCGGGTCGTCTCGACGAGGGCACGCTGGTACAACTCTTCACGGGCGGGTGGGACCTCCATTGAGCCATGCCGACGCATCCACGGTCCGGGATCGCTTCGCCGCCGCCATAAGTTTGGCGCGGCAGTGGAATTGATGGAGGCGGACCGCCCGGTACCGCACCCGCCTCGAGCACCACTGCGCGGCCAACCAGCGGCGGCGCCACCCCCACGGCCCGCGCTCCCGGCACCGCCTCCACTCCTCGCCACTGCGCCACTGCGCGCCGCCTAACTGGTCGTCTTGCCGATGGGCCTGAGGCGTCTCACCGGAGGAGATGGCGGAACGGCGCCGCCTCAACCTCGCTTCAATTGCAGCGGCGCTACACCGGGCCACAACCGCTTCGCAAGAGGATTTTCTTCATCGATGGGGTCGAGATCGATGGCGCGACCGACGACAACGCGCCGCGGCCATGGGCGGCCTCGGGATACGGAGGCGTTTCGCCATCCGGTCGAACCGGGGGCGGCTTCGGTTGGCGTCGCCGTGCTTCTCCCCTCTCCGCCATCGCCGGGTCCGTTTCACCGACACCCGCGGTCGGCGTCACCATCGGCGGCTCCATCTTCTCCGCGCTCCTGGATTCGGGCTCCTCCACGGCTTCATCTCGAGGCGGCGCATAGCGACCTGCCGGGCTCCCGATCACCTGTGCCCCGCATGACGGCGGCGGTGGCTAGCGGTGAGCGCGTCGCTGTCGGCGTGCTCCCCAGCGTCGCGTTCTCCATCCCGGCGAGATCTTCACCACCGACCTCTTCGTCATGCCGCTCGCGGGGTACGACGTCGTCTTTGGGGCTCAATGGCTCGGGACCCTCGGTCGGTCACTGGGACTTCAGCGCCAAGACGATGTCGTTCCTCCAAAGCAAGGCCGGCCGATCGCTTGGCCGTGTGTTCAAAAACACGTCGCGCGCCGATAGCTGTTTCGACCACGGCCTCCGCGTCCCTCCTCGACGAAATTGCTGCACTCGCCGCCGCGGTCTTCGCCGAGCCTCGTGGGCTGCCTCCACCGCGCTCCGCGACCACGGCATCACGCTCCACGCCGGCGCCAAATTTGCCCGTCGCTGCCGTCGTACCGCTACCCGCCACACACAAGGGCGAGCTAGAGCGCCCGAGGCGCGGCTGATCTTCGGGCCGAGGGGCTCATCCGTAGGAGCTTCGTCGGCGTTCTCATCACCGGTGCTTTGCTTTCGTCAAAAAAGGCCGGCGGGACATGGCGTTTTCGTAGTCGACTACCGTGCCCTCAACGCCATCACGGTCAAGGACGCCTACCCGATCCCGGTCGTCGACGAGCTGCTCGACGAACTCCACGGCGCTAAGTTCTTCACCAAGCTGGACCTCCGCTCGGGCTACCACCAGGTCCGCATGAAGCCCGAGGACATCGCCAAGACGGCGTTCCGCACCCATGACGGCTTATATGAGTTCATCGTCATGCCGTTCGGGTTATGCAATGCGCCGGCAACCTTCCAGGCGCTGATGAATGATGTCCTGCGCCCATTTCTCCGCCGATTTGTCCTGGTGTTTTTTGACGATATTCTGATCTACAGCTCGTCCTGGGCCGACCACCTCCGCCACCTCCGTGCCGTGCTCACCGTGCTGCAGCAGCACCAGCTGTTCGTCAAGCGTTCGAAATGCGCATTCGGGGCATCCTCCATCTCCTACCTCGGCCATGTGATCTCCGACACCGGCGTCGCCATGGACCCGGCCAAGGTGCAGGCCGTGGCTGAGTGGCCCCCACCGCGTTCCGTCCGCGCCGTCCGCGCGTTCTTGGGCCTCGCGGGATACTACCGCAAGTTTGTGCAGGACTATGGGACCATCGCCGCGCCGCTCACGTCGCTGTTGAAGAAGGAGGGCTTCACGTGGACCGCGGACGCGACGGCGGCGTTCACGGCCCTCAAGACCGCCGTCACCTCGGCCCCGGTCTTGGCGCTGCCGGACTTCTCCCAGGCGTTCATCGTCGAGTGCGACGCCTCCACACATGGGTTCGGTGCGGTGCTCCTCCAGGACAAGCATCCCATCGCCTTCTTCAGCCGGCCGGTCGCGCCTCGTCACCGAGCGTTGGCCGCCTACGAACGGGAGCTGATCGGCCTCGTCCACGCGGTGCGCCACTGGCGACCGTACCTCTGGGGCCGCCGCTTCACCGTCCGGACGGACCACTACAGCCTCAAGTACCTCCTCGACCAGCGACTTGCCACGATCCCGCAGCATCATTGGGTCGGCAAACTTCTCGGGTTCGACTTCGTGGTGGAGTACAAGCCGGGCGCCCAGAACGTCGTCGCTGACGCCTTGTCCCGGCGCGACACGCCCGACGGCGCAGTGCTGGCCATCTCCGCCCCGCGGTTCGACTACATCGACAGACTCAGGCAGGAGCAGGCTGTTCACCCGGCTCTGGTGGCCATCCGCGACGAACTAGCCGCGGGCGATCGGGCAGCGCCGTGGGCGCTCAAGGACGGCATGATCACGTTCGACGGCCGTCTCTACATACCTCCGGCCTCCCCGCTGCTGGACGAGATCCTTGCCGCGGTACACGACGACGGCCACGAGGGCGTGCAGCGCACGCTCCACCGCCTGCGCCGCGACTTCCACTTCCCCGACATGCGCCGGCGCGTCCAGGACTTCGTGCGGGCATGCGCCACCTGCCAGCGTTTCAAGACGGAGCACCTCCAGCCGGCCGGTCTGCTGATGCCCCTGCCCGTGCCGACCGGCGTCTGGACGGACATCGGCCTCGACTTCATTGAAGCTCTACCAAAGGTGCGCGGCAAGTCGGTCATCTTGACCGTGGTGGATCGCTTCAGCAAATATTGCCACTTCATCCCGTTGGCACATCCGTACTCCGCCGAATCAGTGGCTCAGGCGTTCTTCTCCGACATCGTCCGCCTCCATGGCATACCACAGTCCATGGTCTCCGACCGGGACCCCGTGTTCACCTCCACCTTCTGGCGCGAACTCATGAGGTTGCTGGGTCCCAAGCTGCACATGACGACGGCGTTCCACCCACAGTCCGACGGTCAGACTGAGGCGGCCAACCGCGTCATCGCCATGTACCTGCGCTGCTTCACCGGCGACAGGCCACGCGACTGGCTCCGCTGGCTACCGTGGGCGGAGTACACCTACAACACCGCGTACCAGTCGTCGCTGCGCGATACACCCTTCAAGGTGGTCTACGGTCGCGACCCCCCCTGCATCCGCTCGTATGAGCCTGGCGACACCCGCGTGGCCGCAGTGGCTCGATCCATGGAGGAACGCGCGGAGTTCTTGGATGACGTCCGGCACCGTCTGGAGCAGGCCCAAGCAACCCAGAAGCGATACTACGACAAGTCGCACCGCGCCGTCTCCTTCGCCGTCGGCGACTGGGTACTCCTCCGCCTACGTCACCGCCCGGTCGCGTCGCTCTCCAAAGCACCGCGCGGCAAGCTACAGCCCAGGTTCTTTGGCCCCTACAAAGTTACAGAGCTGATCAATGAGGTCGCAGTGCGTCTGGAGCTACCGCCGAACGCCAAGCTCCACGACGTCTTTCATGTAGGATTACTGAAGAAATGGGTCGGTACGCCGCCCGACGCTCCCCCGCCTCTGCCAGCCGTTCATCATGGCGCTGTCCTGCCTCAACCAGAGCGCGCCGTGCGCACCAGGCTCGCCCGCGGCATTCCACAGGTCCTTATTCGCTGGACAGGAGAACCGGCCGCATCAGCAACATGGGAAGATGTGGCGACCTTCACCGCCAAGTACCCTGCGTTCCGGCTTGAGGACAAGCCGGTCGTCGAGGAGGGGAGAGATGTCATGTGGGGCATCGGGTACACGAGGAGGAGGCGCGCCCGCGACGTACGGCGGGCGGCTGAGCGCGCCGCAAGCCTGGGTCTCGCCACGCATGCAGAGAAGCCACAACCGAACGGTGGCTAGGCTAGTCAATCCCTTAAGTTTAGGATCAAGTTATCTCCCTCATGTTTAGGAGATTAGTTTCTATTTTCAGTTAAGCCATAGGCTATTTATGCATTGTAATCAGGACTTGAGGGGGCAAGCAAGATTATTATCCTTAACCTCTATCTCTTCTCAAGCCGACGGCTGTGGGGCATAACCACGCCGGCGAGGACGGAGCGAGGGTACGAGCTCCGTAGTCGCGGTCCTGCTACTCTAGGAGCCGACGTCCTTGACACATGTCTAATTAATTTTGCATATTAGACACTGCAAGTTGTATAGCAAGGATGACTTGCTGCATGCAAAAAAAAGATGTTACATGAGAAGTTTTGCCAGATTACACAACCAGCGAATATAAACCCAAAGGAGATTGAAATCCAACAGGACTTGGGGCAACCATTGATGAACTCCCATGGGGAAAATTAACTTTTAATAAAGGTATAAAAGAATGTGTCACAATAGGTCACAGTTCGTGCCTTATTTTTCAGTTAGCTACAAATCCCATGTAGGCCTATCATCGTTTTATTTTACTACTACTACAGTTCCTGATTGACTGCTTTACATATGTGAACCTTGCTACTCTACTGAAAGTCTGAAACCACTCGTCCTTTAGAACTCCCATCTCTGCTTTACATATGAATAAAATTCAGATGTGCAGAGGATTGCAATAGATGGTAGAAGCTAACCTTATTAAGCATCTGCAACGACTATTGATACTGACACTGACAAATAATTTACTGATATACAGATGTCAACCCACCATCTAAATAATAGCCCTCAAAGTACAGCAGAACCCATCAAGGAAAAAATAACACAAGATTGACTCATTGGGAACAAGGATCAAAGGAGATAGCAGAACCGACTAAAATGAGGAGAAGTATATAACACAGATAAGTAGCAACGGCAGAAATTCTTTGTTAATATTATTCTGGAAACAAATCACTTTATCAATGATGAAAGTGATATAGAACTGAGTAATAAAATGATTAAGCACAAATGAGAAGACAGTAGCCATTCACACACAAAAATTTCCCTTTTTTATGTTGTACATGCAATCCGCATTTATCAAAACAACGGCACCAAAAAAATCCCTACTCAGAAAAATTACAGTCACTCCCCTCCACGCCCTCCCGCTCAGAATACTCCCACCCGGCCCACTCCAACTCCAGCTCTAGCTTCCAACTCAAAGCAATACAACCCCCACCAGATGGTCGGGGCTGCAAGGACGGGAAATCCTTGGTGAACTAGATAGATAAGAACCTGAACATGCAGGAGCTAGAAACCCGCAGTTGGCAACTCCAAGACAGGTTGGCAACTCCAAGCGGTGGCGGCGGCAGGGGATGAGGATGGGGCGGCGGCAGGGAATAAGGAGGGGACGGTGGATGGAACTGAATCGAAACATTTTACTTTTCTGTCCTCCAGACTGCGGGGAATATACATCTATTCTGCTTAGCTCACCGGACATTCTGCGGCGAATATACATCTATTCTGCCTTGGTATTTCATCTCAAAACACTGTTTAGGGCAGGCGGGGGAGCCAAAATCTTTGCTCGGGTGTGGGCGCGTTGATGTAAAAGTGGCGCGCGCGGATGAAAATTGTGGCGCCACATGATGAAAATAGTTGTACACGGTTGATTTTTATAACCATTTTAGATATATAAAAAATTATAGAAAATGTATTTAAGGTCATAAGTCATACGGAATGAATCTACTACTTATCCATGATATTTGACCAAGCCTATTACTTATCTTAGCATGTATTTGTTTAGATATTTATTATGCTTTTCACTATTTTTCACCTACCCTTGTTTATTTTAAACTTTTTTAAAACCTTTTTTTTATATATTTGAATCTTACTTAGGAGCTTACAAGAACCAACCCCAAAAATCTGGAGCTCAAACGGAAAAAAGGTGTGGCCGGTAGATAATGAAATGTGTGATCTAAAATTCGTACCAAAACTAATTCGTCTATGATAATAGAAAATTCATGGTCGACGGCATGATGCATTAGTCTATGATAACAGAAAATGCATCGACAATGACAAACAATCTCTATAACAAATCTAATTCGTCAAAACAATTCTTTGTACTAGTTTACGACGATTTTTAATGTCATTTTCTTGGTTTCTGACGCTTTCTGTGACGTTTTCTTTGACAATTCTTTTAGCGTCGCAAGAATACAGGGCAACAACATCTTGTGACAATTTATAGAGAAAACGTCGTAAATCAACGACCAAATCCATCTCTTGTCACAAGAAAAGCGTTACAGAAGGCTAGATTTGTTGCAGTATTGTTACTGCGCTCTTAATTTGGTGTACTAAGTAGATAATGGAGCTCATGCAAGGACAGCAGCACAGAGGCAGGCACACCCACACCAGCACATTAGCCACAGTGGCGAGGGCGCCGATCCACATTAATCTCAGGATCCTGCAATGCAAACAACAACAATATCAGGATTCTGCCCGCAGGAGGGATGTGTCTGGAACTCTGGATGGATGGATTAAGATGCAGTAGATCGAGTTCCCACCCTTTGGCGAAGTAGATGAAGCCGGCGCTGGCGATGGTGATGAGGCCGATGGACGACAGCAAGTCGCTGGTGGTTCCGGCGATGTAGGCCACCACGAGGCTCATGAGGTCGAACATGGTGGTAAAGACGAGCGCCTGCACGCTCGCCTTCCGGTTGAAGAGCAGCGCGATTATGACGAGCGACGTCACGAACGACATGGCGTTGGAGTAGTAGAACGTCAGGTACCGCGAGCGGTTGGTGGACTGCAGCACCGGCGTGCCGGCGGCGCGGCCACCACCGTCGTCTTGCCACAGGCCGCCCGGCGGGTTGAGGCCGGCGCTGTAGGCGATGGACACGGCGAGGGTGGCCAGCAACATCAGCCACTCGCGCATCTTGTCCAGCGCATCCTTCTTCACCTCCCAGTCCTCCCTGTCCTTCTTGATTTTCTCAAACTGGTGGTCGCGGTACCTCTCCAAGCAGTTCTTGTCCGAAGCACGAGCATCTTCTTTCTTGCGAGCATCTTCTAATTTCTTGCGAGCATCTTCTTCCTCTTCCTTCTTCTTCCGAGCAACATCTTCTTTCCAGTGACGGAGCCAAATCTACGCACACGGGGTATATATATATTCCAAAAACAATAATTATCTCAAAAATATAATATAATAGACATTTTAGTAATATATAATACACACAATATATAATACAGAATCATTGTATGTAGTGCGTGTTACAGAAAACATGGGAATTTCAATGCAAGGAATACCGTACCTCTAAGAATACCATTAGCGCCGCCTCTGCTTCTTCCTTCTTCTTGCGAGCTTCTTCTTCCTCTTCTTTGCTCCGATGAGCAGCAGCTTGCTCTTCGTTGTCGGCAACGCTGGGTTTATCTTTACCCCCGGCGGCTTCGGCTTCGGCTCCGGCCGCTGTTGTTTCCTGGATGATTTCGCCATCGCGTTGTTCACGCTCACGCTCACGTTCAACTATAATACCAAGAACATGAGACGACATTGTGATGGTGGACGATGGATGTAGGAGCCGGCGCCGGTGCTGGTGGTGCTCTTGCCGAATTTCAGGCGGAGTTGTGTATATATAATATACTACGTATATGATATGATGACGCGCGCCCGTGTGAGTTGTGACGACATGCATGCCTGCCCATGCGCGCCCATGTTGCAGCGCTTTCGCGGCCACCAAGCAATTCCGCCGCACCTTCGATTGCTTGTTGGAGCCTCTCGAGTACCAACCGAGCATATTGCATATTGCATATTGCCCTTTGCTTGTTTTCATTACTTAGTGAAGGTGACAAAAGGGTGCAGCTTTTTGAGACGTCGTACCCAGGAAGTTTTTTTTTTTTGAAAAAAACAATTTAGACGCGTGGAAGATCACAACCCTAGCACCACCGCACATGTACACTATTGGGGAAAAAATGATTCAAGAGAAAGTCTCTCTAATTAATGGAGATGAACATATCTAGGAACCGTCTTCATAAATGATCAGATGACCTCCAGGCAAAAGCCCACCTCTGTTAATCTTTTTTCCCCTAGAAGTGGACATCCTAAGTTGTTGACCATCTCGGGAGGAAAAAAAATCCTATTCACTCTCAGAGGCCTAGATATTACCACACTGATTAGAGAAAAACAAAATTACCCACCACAATTAATAAGTTACCATTCACAAAGCATACTAAGCAATAATTAATTGGTCCCACTCATTTATTCTTAAAAATGGGCGAGGTTTTCCTATCTTTTTGAAAAAAATCTGGCCGGATGTACATGGAGGCCACACACCTTTAGAAAGGTGGCAAGCAAAATTTAGACGGCTACGCCAAGATCTAAGGAGATGGGCTAAAAACATAAATGGTGCGTATAAAAAGGAGAGATAAAAAAAGACTCATGGATACATTAGATAAATTAGACAGAAAAAAGGCGGAGGTCTCACAACTAGATGATAACGAAATAAATCTAATGTGTATGTGCTAAATGATAGACTAGCGTAGCTGTTGAGAGGAGGAATAAAATGGTACCAAGGGGCTATATATGGATAAAAACATGCTAGAAGGAGATGCAAATACCAAACATTTTAAACTATTGGCTAAGGGAAACAAAGGAAAACACATATTTTCTACTTAGAACATGAGGAAGGGTTAATACCATAATATGTGGTAATATAGAATTTATATCACCATGTATATATTAAAAGCAATTGTTTGGCCCTTTGGAGAACAACTCTGTGTCTATGGATGAGTTCCGTTGTGAATGATATTATTGTGCATGTAAACGATGGTGGGGGAGGGGCTTAGTAGTTGATACTAGTTGTTTGTAGATGTCTACCATGCGAAAGGTCATGTAGCCTAGTGCTTAAGAGCTTTAGTAGCACCTCATGTCCTGGGCTCGACTATCCGTAGGAGAGAATTTAGGTGCCGTTTGGTTCAGCGGACATGGTGGGATGGGATGAGAAGAACCCACTTTTGTAGCTGTTTGGTTGAGACTTAGGTGGAACTCTAGGACGTCCCACCTAGGAAATATCATGGGCATATTAGCAAGAACTAGGGGCGACCTCGTCCACCCAAAGAGAATGTACCGAGGCGTCCCACTCCGACACGTTCCTGTCTCTGCATGATTTTTCCCTCCCCAACGCTTCTTCCTCTTCTCCGCCACCATTCTTCCTTCTCCTCCAGGTGGCGGGCGAGCTTGTGGCCTCACGCTCGAGATCTGGCGCCCGGCTGAGCGGCTCCCAAGCGGGCGAGCTCCTGCACAGACCACTGACGGCCATGGTCTGCATCCTATCGGGCCATCTTCAGTAACTCTAGTTTTTTGCAGTGTGAGAAAAACCTATGTCAACCAGAGGACATGAATCCATGTCAGGAGGACTAGAGGAAGGGTGGGGCTATACACCCAGATTCGCCTCCACTGTCCTCCATCACTGCAAGAAAATGAGATCCTCGTGTGAGGACTGCCCTGGTCTACTAACCTAAACTAATTAGTGTTGACCCAGATGATGGATTTTTTATTGATACACTTAAAACTGAAGAAGGAAGAAATAGATCGATTTGCTGCTATTGAGGAGAAGAAATTGGAGGATCCATACAGCATCAACAAGTGTGTCACGAGCTTGAACGCTTACACGGTCTACAAATGGGAGAAATATTGGTGGCAACCAACATCTTCAAATGCAAGGAGAACAGAGAAGTATTCTTATCATTTTCTACTGATGCATTACGGTTGGCTTGGATTAAAAGGGAAATTGGGCGTGCGCAAACAAACCTTCAGGATTTGTTTCAGGATTAGATAGATGCCAGGATGTACTTTTGCATTAGACTAATAGCTTTTGTTAACCAGGTGGCAAATGCTTTTGATTGCCTTCCAACCTAGGTAGTAGGTGGTAAACTTGGTTCTAGCTAGTTACACTCTTTTTGGTAGATGCAAGTAGAATATATTAAGTTGCTAATTAGGGGTACAAGGGCTGCAATGGCCCTGACTTTTATATCAGTAAATACAATGTTACTAGGTCCTTCGTGCTATGTAATGATCCCACATCCTTCGTGCTATGTCATCTCACTTGTGATTCCCAGCTTATTGAATGCTTGTATATCACCATTATAGTTCAGATCTCCATTTAGCATGTCAACAATCTGGTTCCTGTGTCCGTGCCGGTCAGATCTCTTGCCATGGTTTGTGACCAACCAGATTTGGAGAGGAGCTAGCTGTATGTGACGAAGGCTTTCTTGTGGTGTTTTGTGACTGAGCAGACGTGGAGATGAGCTACTTGGTCTCTTCAGGATGCAAATGAGACGTATGAAGTTTCTCTTTTTTTTTTGAATTAAGAGACGTATGAAGTTTGTATGCTGCTGGATGTATTTATAATTTCAAGTAACGGCTAGTTGTCTTCCTTGAATGCAACGGCTAGCAAAGAGCTTCTCAAACGTGAACAAAATAATCCTTTGTTTCTCCAGTGGTGATGCCAATGCAAAGAGCTGCTGATTTACTTTCCTGTGTTTTACTTTTCAAAAAAAACTTTCCTGTGTTTTTGAACCCTACAGGATTGGAGAAACCTAGCACATCATTTTCTTTGTTTTCCCTATCCCTACATATTGCCTATCCTATGATCCAAAGAGGGCCTAAATATTTTGTTTATAACCATTTAAGCACAACTACATGTGTAAACCACTCGATACATTTACCGACATTCCATCCAAAGTGATGTTAACCCGTGTATTTAGAATTGTACTCTATTAGACCCATTGTTTGTACTCCCTACGTCCTAAATATAAGTCATCGACTCTCAAAATGACTTAAAGCAGAAATAATGATAGCCACCGCGAATTACTCCGCTTGGCTGGATGCGTGCAAACAAGCATGCATTCTGGTCAAACCTCGCAGGCAAAGATGTGTGGTCAAACTTCACACTGACTTTACGCTGGCAACGAGTGATTTCAAACTATCTCTTCCTTTCTGTTTTGACAGCAAAAGGCAAAAGAAAAAGAAAAACGTGGTCGGCAAAACCAACATGATTTCTAGTCATGCCCGATAACCACTCCGGCACGACCACTGTTTCTTGTTTTTGCGTTCGTAATTTCATTACTGTAAACACCCCGTAACCTCCTTCGTTTTATTCAAATACACCCGCTAAAATCAGGCCTCTTCCTCTCCCAAAAATTTACGTCATATACCATAGAATATTTAACACATGCATAAAGTATCGAATATTTGACACATGTATGAAGTATTAAATATAGACTAAAAAAATAACTAATTGTATTGATTGCAACAACTTTGCAAGACGAATTTTTTAAGCCTAATTAGATTATGATTTGACAATAAAGTGCTACACTAACACATATGCTAGTGACGGATTAATTAGGCTGACGGATTCTATAATTTATTTTTTTATTAGTATCCAAACACCCCATACGATACCTTATATAACACCCCGACGTAACACCCTAAAATTTTACAGCTGGATTTAGGCCTCAGTTCATAGTTTTTTTTTAGGTACAGAGACATCTGTCGACGTGCAAGTGCAATGGCATTGCCGCTGCCCACTAGCATCGATCATCACAAACACCAGAGATGAAAGCTGTCTCGATCGCGTGCACACCACACGCATGCAGCCTCATTCCAGTTTCTGCATCGGGTACTCGAGCAGCGGGCGGACCGGCGGCGCCGGCAGCGCGGCGGGAGGCGGGCGACGTGCAGTGATCGCGCTCGTGGTCGGGCCGGCGGCGGCGGCGGGCGTGGACGACAGCAGGAGGCGGAAGGTCCACGCGAGGACGTCGGGCGCGAAGACGCGGAAGACGAGGAAGACGTCGTACCAGCTGGGGCGCTTGACGTAGGCGTCGCCACGGCAGGCGCCGGCCACCAGCGCCCGCGCGTACGCCTCCACGTGCGCTCCCCCCGGCAGCGCCGCCGCCGCCGCCTCGCGCTCTTCCTGCTTCCACTGCACCTCCGCCGCGCCTTCCTGATGATGGTCCAGCGTGAACTTGCCGCCGCCGGCGTCGCCGCCGACCCAGCCGTGCGTCGCGACGGTTACGCCCACCTCATCCTTCACCTCGTACCGGAGCGTCTCGTAGAAGTCCACCACCGCCGCCTTCGCCGCCTGCCGTACGTGCCACATCATCAGTCGTGTTACTGTTACCAGTAGTTATGCGGCGGCAAACAGCTTTCTTCTTCAGAGTTCAGACAAGAAGAGGAAAAATAAAGGCTTGTCATTATTACATACAGAGTAGAGGCTCATCCTTGGCATCGGCAGCCAGCTCTCGACGGACGCGTTGACGACGACGCGGCCGTGGCTCCGCCGGAGGTAGGGCAGCGCGGCGTAGGTAGGGTACACGTTGCCCCAGAAGTTGATGTCCTGCAATTTTATTGGCATGCGTTACATTGCGTTTAGTTTCCCTTTCTGATGGCATGCATGTGCATGCTGATCCTCGACGACATGACAATTCATACCATGAGGTGCGGGAAGGCCGTGGTGTCGCCGGCCTCCTCGAAGGTGAAGTCGTGGCTCAAGCTCACGGTGTTCACCAGATGGTTCACTGCCCACGCATGCATGCCCAGCAGGTGTGTGTCAGAAGAAGGCAAGGATTATTGCAGTTGCAGACAAAGAGGATTCGACGACTCACGCTGTCCGAAGTAGCTGACGGTGTCGGTGACGAGCCTCCGGCAGTCATCCTCCTTGACGACGTCGGCGGCGATGACGAGGACCTGGCCGGCGCCCAGCTGGCGCGCGTTGTCGCGGATCCCGAACAGCCGCCGCTCCCGCCGCGCCACCAGCACCAGGTTCGCGTTCCGCCGCGCGTACTCGTACGCGATTTGCTGCACTTGCACGCACACGGTGGGCGTGTGTCGTCGTGTGTTCATCATGCTACTAAATTGATCGCAACGAAACAGTGAATCTGCCGTACGACATCGATACCTACCTCGCCGATTGCGGAGGATGCGCCGGTGATGACGACGACTTTTCCCAGCATGTCCTCCTTGGTGAGGGTCTTGAGCGCCCACTCGACGCCGCGCAGGAACGACAGCGTCGGCCACGCGAACGCCAGCATCACCATGCTCGCCGGCGGCACCACCAGGTCCATCACCGCGTTCACCAACCGATCCATCCTAGCTTTAGCCCTTCCCTCGATCTATCACTCCCTGTCAACTCGATCCACACCTGCAATGATCTTACTCTGAATGAGAATGCTGCGTGGATGAGCTGACGGACGGAGAAGAGATCGAATGGAGGAGATGGAGTAGTCACTTGACGAATCCAAGTTGTGCTTCTGTAGTCTGAGGAACGGAACGGCCGGGGATAAGGACAGGCGAGGGTGGTGAGAGACGGACGGGTGCGGTGCATGGCGGGCAGCTGCGTGCGAGGCCCTGCCGGCTGCCGCCATGCGCACGTCGGTCCAGAACCAGGAGGAGGCACGCTTTGGCCACTTCCTTAGCCGCCGCTCTAGCTTAGGTACTTGTCACTCGAGACATCTTCTGCCTGCTCTGCGTCTGCATATACGTGCCGCTTCTGAATTCACCGGTGTTGTCAGCTGGTTTGCCTTCAGTAAATTGAGCAGTTTCCTCTGTAAGTATTTTTGGCTTCTAATTCACCGCACCGGTGGTCACCGGACACACAGATGTCACCGCTATATAAATTTTGGGACCTAATAAATATGAAAATTCAAGAACTGGAGATCACAGATCAGAGTGATATCATCGTACGTCCAGGCTCCGAGATTCAAATAGATGACATCACTGTGTAAGTTTAAGGATCGTTCATGAATTTTACTCCCCGTGGAATTAAAACAGTGAATACTCCAGCACTTGCCAGTGGTTCAGAGAAGTAACAACGGTGAAGAAGAAGCAGAGTATTCAAGTATGCAAGCCATATATGTACACGAGGAATTTCCCTTCCGAAACCAATCCAATTATTTTCCTGGAACAAACATCACATTTTGATTTTGATTTTGTTTTTGCCGTCTCCTGTACGCGCGAAGAATAGCCGATGTTGCTGACGATCACTACCCAGTTATACAAGCTGGCATGGCTAGAACGCGCAGCACCGCGCCGTGAGGCCGCCGGAGTCGCCGGCCGACGACACCTGAATCGCCTGCCCCTCCTCGACGGCTCTCGCCTCGTCATCCGCCGCCGCCGCGGTGGCAGCCAGTGCCTTCCTGCTGACGGCGCGGTAGATCTCGGTGAGCAGGGTCTCGAACGCGGCATCGACGTTGGTGGCGTCGAGCGCGGAGGTCTCGACGAACGAGAGTCCTTCCCGCTCCGCGAACGCGGCGGCGTCCCCGCGCGGCACGGCGCGGAGGCCGCGCTGCTTCGCCAGGTCGGTCTTGTTGCCGACGAGCATGACGGCGGCGCCGCGGCCGTCCGCGTGGTCCCGGAGCTCACGGAGCCACCGCGCCGCGTTCTCGAACGTGGCCGCCTTGGTCACGTCGTACACCAGCAGCGCGCCCACCGCGCCGCGGTAGTAGGCGCTGGTTATGGCGCGGTACCGCTCCTGCCCCGCCGTGTCCCAGATCTGCGCCTTGATCGTCTTCCCGTCCACCTGTGATCGTGATCGGTCGATGAGCGTTGAGTTGAGCAGAGCAGCCAGTCATGGCCGGCCGGTCAAGCGAAGCGATAGCCGATATGGTGGTGGATACAGGACGCATGCAGCAGCACGGTACGGGCGTACCTGGATGGTGCGGGTGGCGAACTCGACGCCGATGGTGGACTTGGAGTCGAGGGAGAAGGTGTTGCGGGTGAAGCGGGAGAGGAGGTTGGACTTGCCCACGCCGGAGTCGCCCACCAGCACCACCTTGAACAGGTAGTCGTAGTCGTCCGCGGCCTGCTGCTCCCACGTCGCCGGCCGCCGCCCCGACATCGCCCCTCCGCCCCCGCCCGGCCCCTTGTTCCCTTCCCTCCGGCGTGGGTGTACTCGATCGATCGGCTTGCGTGACTCTGCTGCTGCTGGCTGGCTCGTGGCTCGTCGCGCCTCGCTACCTGCTCCCTAGCTTCTTCCTCGTAGGCTTCGCCGCCACTCGGTGTTATTTTCTCTGCTGGCGCCTCCGATCCCGCCTGCTCTTGTTGCTTTGGCGGCTTGCTGGCTGGCTGGCCTGTGGGCTGTCCGCCGGCTGTGGCTTTCGCTTTTGAACAGAAGACCCAAGCCGGGGGTGGTGGAGGAGGAGACCCAGTCCGTACGAGCAAATGGTACGGCCACACCACGCGTGCACCTTGGGGCTTGGGCCACCTCACTTCTCTTTTTCTTGTGTCTTGTGTCAAAAAATGCCTACCATAGCGTTCCTAAAAGAAAAGCCATGAACAAGTGTATTCCCAGATCAAATCGAGTATATTATGGTGATTTGTATTTTTTTTTAATCGTGATTCTTTTGCCTGGTGTTATCATGTAGTATTTTTTTTTGTTAGCAATCAATGGCTGAATATTAGGATCGCTCTTAAAAAAGACAAACGAAACACTTGGAATGCTTACGGATCTCTTAGGTCCTGTTTTAGTTACTATGAATTGAAAGGAATTGGAAAGTAACCTCATAATGAAATGTGAAACAGTTTCTAGATATTGGTTTTAATTCATGAGATCCAAAATAACAAGCTTTTAGGGAGTGCTTGCACGCCTCTCAAGGCCATTTGAAGTTGGAAAACAGACACATAAGATGAGCTTAAAACTATAGACTTCAAAGAATGTCTGTATATCCAACCACAATTGTCAGGAACAAGGTTGTGTCCAACAAAGCTCTTTTTCGTTGTGGAGCACGCACCGGGAGGAATTGCAGTGTGGATCTAGCCATATCCCACTATGGGAAGGACACACCAATGGAAGTTGAGAAGAGAAGAGAGAAGAGTTCAACGGACACGGTTTCAACCAGAGCCACCCAATGCGAGTCGGCCGGCTCTACGTGTCCACTGAAACACGCACAAAAAATCGGCAGAGCTATCTATCACGCACTCATGCACTGAGAAAAGTCAACGGAATTTCCCTCACGGTTGGATCATCATAGGACGTCTTATAACGACGTTCATGATGAGTGGTCACTGAACTCAAGTTTGATGGTGTTATCTAAGTCTCAAATGATCAATTTACAACATGTATAGGATTATAGGTCCTAACTTGTTAATTATCACTGGAGGTCCAAATAACTTAGCACATGATTGTCGTGGCTATATGAGATAGATAGTGGACTCCATTGGATGTGTTATATTTTTTTTTTCATTGGTTATCACGTGCAACCCAAAAATCATCCAATTCAGTGGCATGAAATAACAGACGTCGCATAATCCCTTCATTCTAAATTGCAAGTCATTCTAATATTTCTAAATTCTTATTATGCACCTACATATATGCTATATCCATATATGTACTAAAATCTATGTATATAAAAAACCCCAAAACGACTTACAATTATGAATATATAGGAAGTAGATGCTAAGCAATTAGATGATCAACAAGCTCTGAACCTTGAGTGAACCACATAATAAGTTCAGATTTCTAGATATGCAAGCATAATAGTTTGTGTCTTTGCGGACTAAAGTGACACCACCAAACAAATTTGAAATATTTTCTACTCTAACTCGGCCAAAACTTGTATTTGTAATTTTTACTTATTTCAAACAAAGATAACGGCAAAGGCTTTGGCGTTGTTTCTATTTTTTTCTATGACTTGCGAGCGCCCATACGTCTGATCGTGCTAGCGTCGGATGGTGCTTGCTGCATGCCACGCGAGTACGTGCAAATCGCTCGCACAGGCGGGACCGCCCCGCGCCGCTCCTTTCCCGCGCAAATGCCCGTTCGTGCTTGCTCCGCTTCCGGACCGCGCCCGAGCCCACGTGGGACCTAGTCACCTGACGCTCTGTGGATGCGCACCATGGATGCGTCTGCCGGCCTTAGGCCCCGCACGGTGACCCACGGCGGCACCAGCAGGTGGCTGCGGCAGGTGGGTCTCATTGCAACATGTGTAACACCAGATCTACTTTTACAACATCCAGAAACACTTGCAACATGCGTTTGAAATAGCAGGGAAAAACACATGTCTTGACATTGCAAACATATGCATCATCCAGATAAAACACTTGCAACATACGTATGAAACACCTAAAACATACGCTTGCAACATGCATGTATATGCAACATCTAGATCTACCTTTGCAACATCTAGATGAAACACGTGCAACATACGTTTGAAATAGATAAAAATATTTGGAATATACACTTGAAACATACGTGTATAGCCATTGCAACATGCATCATCCCGATCTGCTTTTGCAACACCGATATAAAACACTTGCAACATGCCTCTGAAACATTTAAAACATACGTTTGCAACATGAGCTTTCAGCACAACATCTCCTTACTGCTTAGGAATGGTGGCTTGTCGGTGCATGGAGTTTACCGGTGTAGAGCTCGCTCCTCTGGTGGAGAAGGTGGGACTGGCTGGCCGAGAAGGCCTCGAGGCGGCGTGGTAATGCTAGCGGATGGAGATGGAAGCTTGACGACGGACGGCGGCAAACAACGGCGCAGGCGGGGCAATGAAGGTCAGCGTCGTGCTGGGCGGGCCGGTGCCGAAAGGCCTGCGCTTGGAGGTGCGGTCGGAGGTGGCATCACGGAGACAAAGCGACGCTGCGAGCGACTCCTTGCGGCTGAGAACGAGCAAAGTGAATCAGTGTGTGAACCCCAGAGAAGCCTAAGCGCACGTTTAAGGGCCCGTTTGGCATGGCTCGCCTCGTGAAAAAATAGCTCTGGCTCTAGCTCGTATGGAAAAGCAGTTTTTCTGACTCTGGCTTATTTTATACGAAAACGTTTGGTAAAACGGCTTCTCCTAGTGTAAAGAAGATGTGAAATGTCCAAAATACCCTTATATATTTTTTTTCTTTTTCTCTTCATTTTTCTTTCTTTTTTTTCTTTTTCTTTGCTTCTCCCTTCTTTTCTTCTCCTTATCCGAACGGCCTCACTCCATCCATCTCTCTCTCTCGGGCGTTCGGATAAGGAGCTACCGGCACCCACTCCCTCCATCCATATCTCTCTCTCTCGGGTGTAGCAGAGGAGGCGGTGAGGCGGCTTCGAGGCCGCCCACCGGAGCGGGGAGGGCCGACAGTGGGGCGGAGCTGAGAGCTCGAGCTCGAGGCAGTGAGGCGGAGCTGGAGACCCCAGGTGTGGAGTGGAGCAGGAGAGAGGCCGTGGCGGGAAGTGAAGTGGAGAGGAGAGCCGGGCGGTGAGGGCGAGCTCGAGGCCGATGGAGTGGAGCATGGAGGCGTGGATGGGCGGTGAGCAGGAGCATGGTGGGGCGAGCTCGAGGCCGACGGAGTGGAGCATGGAGAAGCAGCCAGGCGGAGCTCAAGGCCGACAGGGGCGTGAGGAGCGGCCGTCGTGTGTGGCGGCGGGGAGGAGAGCAAGCCGGGGACAGGGATGGAAAGTGACGAGCTCGAGCCGGGGTAAGCCAGTATTTTTGGCTTCTCGCGTGGGGAGGAACTGAGTCACCGGGTTTTGCGAGGCTTTTGCCGGCTTCTTGCCGCAAGCCGTTTTGCCTGTTGCCGTTTGGCAGGGCTTCGCCCGAAGCCGCTCGTGGAGCCGCGGCAAAAGCCTTGCCAAAGGGGGGCTAAATCTAACGAGGAGTTAATACGTCCTATGAAAAGCACCGTCCGGACTCCCTATCCTAATCATCTCGGCTCCAATTAAGGTGGGTAAGTGGGTTTTGACTCGCAGGTCTTGGCACGGAGGCGGTTTTCTGGGAATCCGCCTTCGGTGCAGGAGTGATGGACCACCTGTTCTAGTGGCGGCGGCGGGACCCGCCCGCACCTCTCACTGTCTCGCTTCCTGCCCGCGCAGCTGCAGTTTAGTCTCCACCACAAGTGCTGTCGTAGCAGAGAAAATTGAATATTTGACACCCAATCCGGAGGCCGGTGAACATTTGACATCTAATTCGCGCGTGGTTGAAAATTTAACACTCTGGCTGCAAATTCATTGAAAACAGGTGTTTTCTTCTCCTTTTCTCCATTTAACATTTTTTTCTTTTTTCTTTTGCTTTTCAAGGCAACGTACCTTGGCCTTATCCATCCATTTCTTCTAAGAAACGAACGCATCTCTCTCCCGTACTCATTTTTCTTATTACTTAAATCACGTCCACGCCGCCGCTGGTCTTTGGAAGAAACCTTCTTAGTTATGCTGGCGGGTGAAGGTGGGTTGGCGGGCGGGCCGGTCTTAAACGAAAGCCGGCCATGCGTCTTGTATGACGGTCGCCGGAGTCTTGGGTGCTTGCGCTTAGCTAAAGCTCCGTCGTCTTGGCTCGCCACGATTGATGGAGGCCGTCGGCGTAGCCCAGAGGCGCCGGAATGGTCGAGCAACAGCAGGCCAAGGTACTTTGGTCATTCAACGTTGCCTTGAAAGCAAAAAAAAAAAAAAAAAATATTAAATGGAAAAGAGAAAAAAGACTTGTTTTCAACTAATTCACAGCTAGAGTATTAAATTTTCGACGACACACACGAATTGGATGTCAAATGTTCACGTGCGTCCAGATTGTGTCAAATATTCAATTTTCTCGTCGTAGCGTAGAGGGAGGCCAGGGCAGGGCAGGGCAGGGGCCAGCGGGGCCGGCGAGCGGGGATGGCGGGCTCGGCCACGTACTCCGCGTCCGCTACCACCGTGGTGGCGATGGCCAAGGGCAACGGCAACAGCAAGGGCGTCAGAGGCGGCGGCTCCGCGGGCACCAACAAGGTCAGCCTCCGCTCGGCCCAGTCCCCTTCCTACTGAAGAATATTCCGATTCCGTGGCCTCGGATTTGGGCGGGGTAGTCGCCCGGGATGGAGCAATGCAGGGGCGACGGTGCTTCGCGGGCAGGATTTTTGTTGCTGCTTACTGGAAATGGGAACATGGAA